TACACCTGGCCTTTTTTTTTTTTTTTTTGTGAGAGGTTTTTGCTATAGGGCACGTGCGCTCGCCAGACAGAGAGATAAAAAGCAAGAAATCACCCCCCATGGGGGATGGCCATGCCGCTATCCCTTCTCCTCCATTCTCATCTCGGGATCTTGGGCACGCATGCACACACGTCCGGCATGAGTTTTAAGCCACCGGGTCTGGGACGCGAACCACATTCGACTACATGGGAGTCCAGCGACATAGCCATTATGCTAACTGCTGGTCCCAACCTGGCCTGTTTTTCAAAAAGCTGCTAGAACCAGCGTTCAAACTGTATAGCTGGTCACTTGGGATCTGCCTCCCTTAACCATGAGGCCCAGGCCAGCTCCAGGAAACATTTTGATCTGCTTCTTGTGGGGAGCCCCGTCTTGCTGGTTTGTCTTTCTAGCTGTTAGCCTACAGCCTGGGTTCTGAGGGGACGAGGAGACAGCCGGGCGCAGTCCTGTGGCAGAGAGCACACAGCACGTGGAGGGTGTGCGCCGCCTGCAGCCCTGCCACCAGCCCACCTCTCCCTGTAGACCACTCTGGCTGCTGCGCTCCCATCATGGAGGTGCCGCTGTACGGCTGGGCTGCCCCTGCCAAGGCCATGCTCCTTGGGACCAATGACGGATGGCAGAAACAGGCCGGTGAGGTGGCACTGGGGCGTGGAGCGGCACCCTGAGCCTGGGGAAGAGCAGGACGGGAAGGAGGGGTAAGTGCAGCCCATGCCGGCCCTCCCGGAACCCATCGGCGCCACCCCAAGTCGGAAAGTCCTCTTGGGCCGGGCAGCGCCCGGGCCTCCTGCCTGCTCTGGCTTCCTCACGCAGCGGTGTCGGCGACCCACCTGATCGGGAACTCCACGACAGTGTCCAGCTTGTCCCTCCAGTATCTGTTGTAGGAGAAACGCTTGAGGTGGACCACAAGGATCTTGGGCAAGGACCACAAGTCGAACTTCTTCGTGGCCTGCTGGTGTTTCTTACAGTTGGGACAGTACCTGGAGGAAGAGCAGAGGCGCCGCTAGCAGGGAGGGCGCCATGCCGCTCGGGCGCCGTCCAGACAGCAGCGGGTCCCCTGCGAGCCTCCCCAGCAGGGTGGGTTGCTTGTCTGCAAAACACAGCTTGTGCTGCAGGGCTGTGTCGTAGGGTGGCCATGTGAAAAAGGCGACGTGTCCCAACACAAAGGACCTCACATGCACGCACAGTCCCAGGAGATCTGAGGCCCAGAGGGGCTGTGTACCAGGGGTCGTGCTCCCCCAGGGTCTCCATGGTGGTGAAGAGTTCAATGCAGTCCCGCAGAGCCACCGCCGCCTTCTTCTTCTTCTGTGGCTGCAGCATGCTCGCGTGCTTCTCGTAGGCCTGCGGGAGACAAAGGCCGAGCCACCATCAGATGCGGGCCGACCCTGTCCTGTTGGAACATGGTCCACCTGCTGGTGTCTCTGAACACAAAATGACAAGACCCTGAGGTGCATTTCATTCTCGGTCTAGACACCACTCGCTAAGCTGCTGCCGCCTGGTGACAGTGATCCTCGCCTCGCACGTGTCCAGAGCAGGGACCAGCACACGCCTCGAGCCCGACTCCCTGGGCGACCTACCTCAGACTCCTGCTCATCATAGTAAAGGTTCCGGGTCTCACTGTCCCAGTCGATGGCCAGTGTGGATCGAGCTGAGGAAGAGGACCATGGTGTCACTCAGTAAGGACAGGCCGGTGGTAGGGCAGGCTCTCCAAGGGACAGGGTGAGGACGAGGCTCAGGCCACACCTCTTACCCACGTCAGCTGCTGCCGAGAGCAATGAAGCCCGGCTCCCACAGCCTCAGCAGACTGCCTCAGAGCCGCAGAGCAGCTGCGGAAGCACCAACTACCATGCGGAATTCTGAACGGCGCGAGTCAGAATGGAGTCACGGGGACCAGATTTATCCCCACTCCCCATCACAGCACCAGGAAACCCGGCAGACGTGCTGACACTTCTGTTCCCTCCAGAGAAGGAGGGAGATCCCCGCAGAAGAGCAACCTCTGCCCTGCAGTCTACTACCTGGAGGCAGCCTGGGCGGGGGGGGGGACGAGGAGAAGGGCAGGTGGGCTGAGGGAGGCAGCTAGAATGTGCAAGAGTCTATGTGGGAAGGGAGGACACCCCGGAGAGGTCAGAGCTGCAGACTGATCCAAAAATACCTCAACAAAGTTGCTGTTTCAAAAAAAATGAACGAGGTCTAACTGCACGCTCCCGCCAACGCCAGCGCAAGGATGGCGGGGAACTAGTTGGTCTCCTCTCTAGTGAAGGCAGAGGCCGTGCAGTCCTGTCCAGCTTGGGAAGCGTCTGCAAGGGCCACCCGTGCTGCTCACACGCATACCCGAGGACCTCTTCCCGACTCTGCAGCAGCCTCCTTGCAGACAGAGTAGCGGAGACAACACGCCCGTGCTCTGGGTCGCTCACACCGTGGGGAGGGCCCTAGCACTTCCTGCTCTAAGTGAGATGAGGCTGGGCGGTGCCGCTGCCAGGGGTGTCACAGGGAGAGCTGCCCACAGAGCGGGAGTGGGGAGCCGCTTCCTTTGAGGTCCTCAAGGACAGAGGAGAAAAGCCTAGGGGTGTAGGGTGGCAGGTGGTCTCTGAAATGCCCTTCAAGGGCTTCAAGCTAAGGAGCAGAGAGCATCCACTCCCAGAGCCACTCAGAGACCAAGACAGCCTAGTGCAGTGTAGACAGCCCACTGCAGTGCAGACAGCCCGCTGCAGTGACGAGGACAAGGACCGCCCACAGATCAAAGCCCCTGAGCCCAGCTGAGAGGCTGAAGTGCTTACAGTTGAGTTTAAGAAGTTTCCCGTCCGTGGCCAGTGAATTGATGTCCGCTGTTCCGTAGGAGTTCACAAGGCTGAAGGTGAAAAGCCTCTTTGAGCAGGGCTGGCCTTTGACCTTCTGGGTAGCCTCACTAGGGTCATGGCCCAGCTCATCCTCCCCGCTGCCTTCCGCATCCGAAAGCTGCTCTCTGCCTTCTTCCTGATGCTCCATCTCTTCCTCGTCTTCCCCTGGCCACGAGTGAAGGAAGGTGACAAGTACATAATGGGACAGCGCCAGTGTGGTCCACCCCAACAGCTGGCTGCGGCCTCCGCCCGGGGTCCGTGTGGGCCGCTGCTGCCCCTTCGTGTTCACAGGCTCTGCACTCATGGGTGCCCCTCAGCACACCCTTGATGACAGCACAGAGGGCACCACGGCTCTGCGGTGAGGAACGGGAGGCCCAGGGAGGGGCCACGGGTCATCGGAGGCACGAAGCGACTCAGCAGCCCTGCCAGCCCTGCGTTTGGGCCTGGGCCACCTGGGTCTGACTCCGCTTCATCACTAAGAGCCACAAAGGGACTAAGAGGAGACTCGGATTCCACGTTCAAGAGAAACATGAGTGCAAATTTCCAAAAATCACAATGAGGACCAGCAGGCTAGAGCCCAGGGGCACCACACAGCGGGCTCCCCGCGGAGCCCCAGTCCAAGGGGGAGGGGAAGGTGCCAGGAGGGTCATTCCAGCAGAGGTGGGGCTGTTCTGAAAGGGGACGGAAAAGCAACGGGGAAGAGCAGACAGAAGAGTTTCCCAATTTGGACACGGGAACCGAGGAAAAGAGGACGTGCTGCTTAAGAACCCCAAGGCCCAGTTCTCACAGAGGCTCTGTTCCTGCCTCACTTGACCCCGAGGGGAGGCCACTGGCTTTACACAGGCAAGCCTGTCCTACACTCTGCAACAGGCATGGCAAACCCTGGCTGCCTGTCACCCCTCAGAGAAAGGGCAGGACCCCAACCTGCCCTGACTCCAGTCGCAGGTGAGCAGCACCTGGGCGCGCAGGAACGCTACCCTGGCTGTGTCCTGGCTGGCAGGACCTGGACAACCTCAAAGACCATCTGCCACTACAGCTGCCATGCAACGCCATAAGTGTGCACACAGGATGGAGAGAAAGCAGGGTCCCCTGAAAGCAGCCCCCCAGGCCTCTCGGAGAAGCAGCAGGGGCCCCATATACAGGTCAGCGGCCATGGCCAGACCAGGAGCCATGACGGCAGAGGCTGAAGTCTGTTGTCAAGTGGGGTCTGAAACCCGAAGTCACCAGGTGGCCGGGATTCTGACAGACAGGCATACGCGAACACTCCCGAGGCGGGGTCGGCCATGGAGGGCAGACTGTGTGCAGGAACGTTACCCTGTCATCTCAAGAAACCGCGAGCTTTCCTCTGAAGCATGCTACTTTGTAGACAGGTTAACCAAGGCTTGGGGAGGGGTGGAGGAGCAAGTGTCCACACACACTCCCTCCGTGAGCTGCGGATCACAGTGCCTTGGCTCTCAAAGTGCCATAGGTCACCTGGGGTCTGCTCAGGGACTACGGTTACCACCACCATACCCCTGCACAAAACAGGCCATGGGTCATCCCTCGTGGGCAAGGGACAGAGCATTCTGGGCAAAGAATCAGACTTCATAAAACCCAGCGGTTCTAAAATATGAAAAGAGCTCGGACTACCCACTGACGGCAGAGCCTCGTGGTCATTATTTTCAACATCACTTCTCACTTTCCAGGACTGTGTGTCGTAGAGAAATGTGGGCGCTTGGATTCACCACTGGGAAAGACCAGCATGAACTTGGAGGGCATTGGCAGTTTTGTAAGAGTAAAGCCACTGAGTCACCTAAGTCCCCAAGCAGAGTTACAGGCACAGTGGGCTTAGGCAGGGCGCCTGGGTCAGGGGTGCACACGTCAGCACCTGCCACAGGAGGATGGCGGGGCTCCAGGGCTCCTGTAATGCCTGTCCCACCGCGTCTCACTGTGGCTTCCTCCACCCCGTGCAGCAGGAGTGAACCGAGCCAGCGCCACCTGTGGCTTCCTGAGCAGAAAGAAAGAAATGGCCACGAGGGCCTGCTTTCTGCTTTCTGATTGGCTGCCCAGCCGTCTGCCCTCCCCGGGGAGCGAAGGCCTCCAGCCAGACTGGGTGGCTCTGCAGCTGGCGGAAGGCGGGGTGTGAGGACCACGTTAATGCCAGCTCTGCTCAGGGCAGGCAGGCCGTGGAGGCTGGTGCGTGCAGGGCGGGCACCCCGATGCAGTCCCAATCCTGCTTTATGAACCCAAGCATATCACTCAAGCCCTCGAGGCTCAGAGCCACCACCACCAGGTGTGGAAGGTTCCAGAGACCAAAGTTGTCCATTGGGGCCTGGCCCAGAGACGGTACCAACCTGGCCCCAGGGCCCCAGCCCAGCCCAGCCTCAGCACCTCCCTCTCCCCTGTGTAGAAAACATGATGAGAGGGAGGTGGGGAGGCAGGACTGGAATAGCCACAGCCCTGCAGCGCCCTGCAGCCTTGCGCCCCACGGCCTCGCATCCCGCAGCCTCGCATCCCACAGCCTTGTGCCCCGCGACCTCGCGCCCCGCGGCATGGCGAGCGCTCACCTTCACAGCTGCCCCTGGAGCCATTGCAGGCCCCTAGCTCCAGGGGCGCGCTGCCAGACTCGGCGGGCAAAGGCTGTTTTATATAGCGGCTTACAAGAGAAGGAAAGAGAGAAAAAGACAGACTGTTAGTCTTAACATTTACCTGTTTTTCCTCCACTACGCAGCTAAGCAGTAGATTATAATTTACACATTTGTAATTTAATATTTACACAGCACCTTATATAATTTAACATACTTTAAAATCACGTAACGGCTCAACACTTTAAGTAATTGAGAGGAACCTCAGAGATTAGATGCATGACTTTAAAAGTGTTAAAGTCTGCTTCAAGGCTTCCCGGACGTCATAGTTTTTAACAGTATTTCCCAGTACTATGACTCACCGCTTCAGAAAGACAGATGTACACTTAACAAAAGTGTTCAAATAGAAAGTGCCATCAAAGCACTAGTGTCCCCAATGCAGGTGACTGACGTAATTCCGGGGACCCAGCATCAAAGCGCCTAACACGTGCAGACGCCCCATCCCGAGGGCGCCTTCCCAGGCCCTCCCAAGGACTGGCGCACCACATGTGCGTTCTGGGGCTGCCACTGCCAAGCCTGTTACGGGGCCTGCTGTGATCTCAGATGATGACCAAATCACAACACCATGACCAACCTGATCCGATCACAGACAGCCTGGTACAGAGACTCGAGGGTTAGCTTGTGCTTGGGGACAGAAACCAGCAGCGGCTGTCCATACAGCACGGCTCCGGGGGACGTGCTCGACGGCCGAGACTTCCTCTCCCTGAAGTAGATGGGGAGCGTGATGCACTCCGAGCCGTCCACGGAGGTGCTGCAGACCTCGTACCTGTGGCAATCACACGAGAGGCCACCTTGAGCAGGGCTCTGCGGGCGACAGAGATCTGCCTGCAGCTCTGCGGTGGCCAGGACCCTGGTTACTGGGACAGAGCATGCTTCAGTAGAAGAGGCAGATAAACCCTCGTTAGCACAACTTCAGAGGCTGGGTCGGTTATCCCAAGGAGGACTCCTGTCAGCACAAGACCCAGCGAGGGGCTGGGACTCAGAGCGCAGCACGAGGCCCCTCCCCCCAGCCATGGGCTCCACCTCTGTGGTCCTGAACTGGGACTGGACACAGATGCTGTTGTCTGGACGGCACCCCAAACTGGAAGGCACTCCCGAGCTGCCAGGTTCATCTCTTGTCGCAACTTTCAAAGATGCATTCTTAGTGTCCTGGTTTTTTTTTTTTTTCCCTTTCTCCTTTTTAGGGTTTTGCCCTAGGGT